TTTACATTTGTAATATATATTTGACAAAAATATAAATTACTCCCATGCTCTAACCAACTGAGCTACCTGGCCAGGGCTGTCACTTATTTCTTAAGCCTGTTCATGTGTCTTTCACTGTGGAAAAATTTTTAAATACTCACACAGTCAAATTTGTTGGTAGTTTTTCTATCATCCCATCCCATACACAAGTCTTGGAGCCTAGGACTTTTTCAAAAATATGTCTTGAATGAATAAAAACCAAACACTTATGCAGCTCCTTCTCTGAGTAGCCTGGTTCTCTAATCATGAAATATTGCACCTCCTGAATTTTTCCATAGGAAGGAGTCCTCCTGTGGGCATTTACTTGGTGTGCTAATATTACAAGTGATTATTTTTTTTTGTTGTGAATGATGGAAACCAGAAAAAAAGTCAAGGCACTTTGTGTCTAATAAAAATGGCTACCACCTATTGCATGCTAATCATAAAGCAGGCAGAGAGTGGCATCCAATATTAAAAGCTCACAGCTATCACATACTTTACTTCTGCAAAACCGAACTGTCTTTTGACACCTCCAATCTCTGTACCTCTGCCAGTCATTCCTATTTTAGTGAACAACACCAGCAGTCACTCTGACACCTCCCCCTTTGCAGCCCACCCAGGCAAACCAGGGCCAAGTCCTGTCAATTCACCCTCCAAGGTATTTCTCAAATTCACCCACCCTTGACAATGCCTTCATCTAAACTAGCTTCCATTCTTGCCCATGTGATTTTTAGTGGGTCTCCCTGCTTTTATGCTGGCTCCCCTACAATTCAGTCTTTCTTTACAAAGGTCACAATAACCTTAAAACATAAATTGGATGATGACCTTCATCTGTTTATTTTATTTTTATAGTTTTTAAAATATATTTTTATTGATTTCAGAGAGGAAGGGAGAGGTAGAGAGAGAGAGAAGCATCAATGATGAGAGAGAATCATTGATTGGCTGCCTCCTACATGCCCCTTACTGGGGATACAACCCTCAAACTGGGCATGTGCCCTGACCTGGAATCAAACCATAATCTCTTGGTTCATAGGTCTATGCTCAACCACTGAGCCATGCCAGCCAGGCAGATTCAACATATTTTAACAGAAATATTTGGTTATTGTGTCAAAGCTGCCAATAGATCAAGTCAGATGAAGACTGTGAATTGACTATTGACATTTTTTAGATGAAAAGAATGGAATGTTGAAAAAGAAATGTTGCTTTACTTCCCTTTATAAAAGTTACCAGACTTATGAAAAAAGATAGTTGCATTCATTTAACTAAAATCTTATTTTCAGCTTACCCTGAGCCAGCCATGGGAAGAGATACTAAGAATAAGATGGATAATGCTACAACATGTATGAAACTTGAGGAAATTATGCTCAATGAAATAAATCAGACACAGAAAGTCAAATACTGTATGGGGAGGAGTCAGATTCATAGAGACAGAAAGTAGATATTGGGTGCCAGAGACTGGGAGGACAAGGAGGCTTAATGTCTGGGGTGCAGGCTCAATCCCAAGTAGGGAGTGTACAGGAGCAGCCATTCAATGATTCGCTCTCATCATTGATGTTTCTATCTCTTCCCCCTCTCTCTTCCTCTCTGAAATAAATAAAAATATATTTTAAAAAATATATCAGTGTGACTCACTTGGATGAGTCTTGTCCCATGCACAGAGAAGTCACTGGTTCGATTCCTAAAAAGGGGACATGCCTGGGTTTCAGGTCCAATCCCCGGTAATAGGCATGCAGGAAGCAGCCACTTGTTTCTCCCTCTCCCTGATTATCTCTAAAAAAATCAATAAAACAATGGAAATATATCTTTAAAAATAAATAGGTCCCAGTTTGGCTCAGTGGATAGAATGTCAGCCTGCAGATCAAAGGGTCCCGGGTTTGATTGGGGTCAAGGACATGATACTTTTGTTGCAAGCTCCTCTCCAGCCCAAACCTTGGTCAGGGATTGTGCAGGAGCAACCAATCGATGTGTTTCTCTCACATTGATGTTTTTCTCTCTGTCTTCCCCTCTCTCTTCTACTCTCTCTAAAAATCAATGAAAAAATATCCTTGGGTGAGGATAAACAACAACAAAAAAATGTCAGATCTGTCACATCTCTGATCAAAACTCTACAGTGATTCTCCAATTTCCCTCAAAGTCCTTTTAATATCATTTAAGGCCTTTTTATCTCCAAATACACTTCCCCACCTCACTGTGTTTTGGCCACACTGGCATTCTTATACACTCATGCCTAAATGTGTATGTCTATGTGAAATGCTATTATCCTCTTAACTAACTTCTTCACGTTCAAGTTTTTGCTCAAATATCTATTTATGGCATCTTCTAAGTAGAAATCCACCACCCTTACTAGGCTCTATTATTCTAGAGCACTTGTCACCTTCTGATATGATTCCATTTGTTTTGTTTATCCATTATTTTCCTTGTCTTCTCCTAGAATGTAAGCTCCAAAAGGGAGATCTTTATTTTGCTCATAGATGTTCTAGGAAAGGTCCTGGCACATACTAGTCAGCAGAGATGTTGAATCGATAAATCTTCTTCTTCTTCTTCTTCTTCTTCTTCTTCTTCTTCTTCTTCTTCTTCTTCTATTTTTTTAAAAAAAATATTTTTATTGATTTTAAAAAATATTTTTAGTTGGTCCGAAGGTTGTGGGTTATTGTTAGCTGATTAACATTGATTTTTAAAAATATTTTTATTAGAGAGGAAGGATAGAAAGTTAGAAACATCGATGAAAGAGAATCAGCTGCTTCCTGCACACCCCCTACTGATGATGTGCCTGCAACCAAGGTACATGCCCTTGACCGGAATCGAACCTGGGACCTTTCAGTCCACAGGCCAACGCTCTATCCACTGAGCCAAACCGGTCTCGGCCTTCTTATTTTTTATTAGCAAAGATGGACATTTATTGAAGAGCAAGTACAGGTTCTCACGTGGGGAAGGGGAGAATCTCACAGTACAGACTCCCATGTGCGAGGGGGAGAGAGTCCCCTAAATCTGCTTCTTATGCCTACAAAAAGGGCATCAGCAGCTAGGACGCTCGGGGAGAGACAGCCTCCTGTAGGAAATCGTGTCCCGAAGGTGGCCAAGGCTCAATCTGAGCGGGATTCAGCACCAAGTGCCCCTGGACAGCTCTGGAAGCCAAACCTTGCCGGAACCGTTCTATTGGGGTTGTAGTTTCCCGCCGGAGCTGCCCAGGGCTGTACCTACCGCTTTAGCTAGGAAACTACTTTTCCGCGTTGGTAGGAGAGGCGGAGTCTCAGGATGAGTGGCAGGCATTGCAGCCAATTAATGGGATGTCTAGGCCCGCGATGCTTGGGAAGGCCAATAGGCAGGGGTGTAGGCGGGGCGTGAACTGCGCCTCTCGGACCCGGGCCTCCACCTGGGGCGCCGCTGTAGGGTCTGGACCGCGCTACCTTTGAGCGGCGGGAGGCTCTGGCGGGGCGGGCCTTTCGCAGGTATGTGTGGGCCGGGGCCGGGGGCCGGGGCCGGGGCTGGGCCTGGGCCGGGGCAGGACCGCGGCCTGGGGGCGGGGCCGGGCCCTGGCGGAAACTGCAGCCCGTTAACCCAGGCCCGGCAAGGCGTCTGCTCTTTATTGGCGAGATCTGTGTGATTTGCGGTGGTTCCACCTCAGAGCGTGAATTGTCCCCCCTGGGGAGGGGCCATGTGAGCCCTGTCCTCTGAGGGGCTCCTGGTGCCTCGCGGGGCATACAGAAGGTGCTCAGTACGTGTTAAATAAATGAATGAGTCGTCCGGTTCTCCGCTCATCCTCGCTTTGAGAGCGCCAAGGCCACCCTCACCCCCACTCCACAGACTGGGTCCTAGGGACTCCTAGCAGGTATTTGTTGGCCGCCTACTGTGTATACCTGGCTTTGAGCTGGGGAAAACAGAGCCGCTGTCCCCACAGATGTCACAGGCGAGGGCCAGTGCGGACATTCCGGGACTTAAATTTGTAGTTCTCTGTAGCACATATAATGCCAGAAAAATGCCAGGCAGTGGGATGGGAGAGACCTCCTACTGATGGAGTCTGAGCTGAGACCTGAAGAGCGCACTGAAGTGCCCCCGTTGGGCAGTGAGAACTGGGAGGTTGGGCGAAAACGTGAGGACAGGGATCAGCCAAGGACCCTCAGGCTAACGGTGACATTTTCAGGTCCAGAGGGAAACCTGCTCCACACTGGCTCATTGAGTCATGTAAAGAAGGCCACATGCTTCAGCACATCCATTTGCTCGGCCAGCCGTTACTGAATCTCTGTTGTGCACCAGGCATCTGGGTAGGTACAGGGGACACCGTTTTGGGTGGAAGTCACCAGGGGTCCTGGAAGTAGTGACTTGAAAGACAAGATGTCATTGGAAGGTCATAGAGAGACATGTTCCAGCCTGAGAGTAGTACAAGTCACGCAAAGGCCCCGAGACAAGAGTGGACTTGGCACACGTAGGGACCACAAAGGCCAGAGGGAGTGCGGTGAAGCAGGAGCCGATGGCCTGGAGCCTTCACCTCAGGACAGAGCATTGGGATTTTACGTGAGGTCTGTAGGGAACCAATGGAACACCACCACCTGCTAGAACATTCTGCAACAATGGAAACATTCTCTGTGCTGTCCAATGTGATGTCATTAGACTCGCATGGTTACTGAGCACCTGAAATACAGGTAGTTCAGCTGAGGGGCTGAATTTTACGTTTTCTTTATTTTTAACGTAAACAGACGCATGTGGCAAGTGATTGCTGTACTGGACATCGCAGCCATGGATAAGTTTATGCAGGAGGCAGGGATGTGTGCCAGGTCTGGAGTGGGGTGAAGTATGAGGGGGAGGAAGGCAGGGTGGGCTTGGTCACTAGATCTGGTCAGATAATCCCATGGCTGATGCGATTGTCCCTGGTGTTTACAGTGACTGGACTGAGGCATGAGCCCCTGGTAGCACATCGTGGGACGGGAGCGTGCATCCACACATGGTTTGGCCCTACGGGGACCAGAGCAGCCCAGGCTGTCACCATGGTGAAGCTGTTAGTGGTCAAGATTCTTTGCATGGTGGGCGTGTTCTTCTTTATGCTGCTGGGTTCCCTGCTCCCCGTGAAGATCATCGAGTCCGATTTTGAGAAGGCCCACCGCTCAAAAAAGATCCTCTCGCTCTGCAACACCTTTGGAGGTGGGGTCTTTCTGGCCACCTGCTTCAATGCTTTACTGCCTGCTGTGAGGGAAAAGGTAAGAGCTCCCTGGACAGTCTCAGCCATACAATGCCAAGGCTCTCTGATGCTTTTTCAGCTCTGACCCTGAATGTGGTGGGAGCCTTTACACCTAAGGGTGATGGAAAGTAGAAAATGAATTTGCTGTGTGACCATGTGTTGGTTGCGTTTCTTCTCTAAGCCTTCCCTGGTAAAGAAGGGGTTTAAACTAGACCTGGGGCTCCTAACCGGTGGGCTCATTGGTTGTTACTTAACCAGACCCTCCATCCCTGAGAGCATACACTTTGTACGGAAGTTGGCAATTGTGGCCTCTCTTCAACTCCTGTATTAGTCAGCTACTGCTGCGGAACAAATGATAACAAATGTAACATCTTAAAACAACGCACATTTATTATCTCACAGTTTCTTTGGGTCAAGGGTTGGATACTGCTTAGTTGGGTCATCTCCAGGTTCTCAGGAGGCAACAATTGAGGTGTCTACTGGGCTGAGATCTCATCTCAGGGTTCAACTAGGGATGGGTCAATTTCTAAGCTAATGTAGTTGTAAGGTGGGTTGTCAGACTTAAGACCTAGTTTCTTTCTGACTGCTGGCTGAGAGCTGCCCTCAGTCCCTTGTCCCATGAGCCTCCCCAACATGGCTTCTTGCTTCATCCTCAAGTTGCAACCTGTGCCTGGATTTCTGACATTCAGATCTGTGAGATGACGCTTTTGTGTTACTTTATACTGTTAAACTTATGTCCCTTCATTACACAGCAGAGGATAGTCATACAGTTGGCATAGATGAGGTTAAATTAGAGTCTTGTCTGACGGCTTCTGCACCCTCACTACCACTTGTAGAATTGCCCCCATTTCTTGTGTTCCTACTGTATCACCCTTCTCATCCTCCTACTTCACATCTGGCCTCTGTAATGGCCTCACTCTTCTCTATCCCCCTTCCGTGCACCTGGGCTTTTCAGGGTCCTCCAGAAACCACGCCTGTGCTGCATCCCTGCCCACAGACTTCCCACGCCTCATCAGCTCAGGTCCCTCCCAGCCCGCGCCTAGTCGTGCCTCAAGCTGTGGCTTTTGTGTGTCTGTCTTGTCTTTTCCAATCCATGTTTATCCCTCTGGGTGTAGTTTGTGTTTATCGTGAGCTGGTCTTTCCCCCAGTGAGGCACACGCAGGCCTCCATGAGACATTTAGCAAATGAATGAAATAGCTTCTCTACAGTAGGGGTTCCCATCCAGGGGTGACTGCTCACAAGGAATATGGGGCCATGTCTAGGACATCTATGGTTGTCATGACTGGAGGTACTCCTGGCTTCAAGTGAATGGGTGTCAAGGATGCTGCTTACCACCCCACAGTGCCCATGATGACCCCCACAGAGAATGACCCTGCCCCAACATCAACACCTCCCCCAACAAGTTATGACAACAAAAATGTCTCCACACATTATGCTTCTCCCTTGGGAGCAGGATCGACCCAGTTGAGAAGTCTGTTTGTGTGTGTGAATGTGCATGGACAATCACAGGTTGTAATGAAGGTTGTAAGGGAAAGAAGAGGTTGGGGCAGTAAGCAGAGATTGGGGTACCTGGTTTGGGTAGAGGACTTGGAAATTATATGTAAGCCAAGACCCAAAGCATGAGCATCCATTAGCTGTGAGTAAAACTGAAGGAGAAACATGATGGACATAGCCGATGGCACAGCTCCAGCGCTGGAAAGAGCTCAGTGTGTGCAAGCATCCTTACAAATCAGGGGAAATTAACCCGTGCTTCGAGGGGCCCTCAGCCCGTTTTGATGGACAGAGTCTAAAACTGCATTGTCCAGTGTGACAGCTGCTTGGCACGGCTGGATAGTCAAGTTTCAGTGAATTACAATGAAGTACAATTCAATATGTCAGTCTTCAACTGCACCAGCCATATTTCTAGTCCTTAACACAAAGCTAGTGGCTCCCATATTAGCACAGATAGAAAGTATATCTAGAACATTCTCTTGAATGGTGCTGACTCAAGGGATTTGATGGGTGTCTGAATGTGCTGACAAGCCTTTACCCAAGAGGCTGGAGTAATGGGAACAGAGCCCCATCTGTATTATATGGAAGCAAACCCCACGTGGGTATTGGGGCCAGAAAGGCTGGTTTATATCACAGCAGTGAAGGCCGGAAGTCCTAGATTAAGGTGTCAGCAGGGCTGGGTCCTTTTGAAGCCCTGAGGGGAATCTGCTCCATGCTTTCTCTCCACTTCTGGTGGTGGCCGGCAATCCCTGGCTTCCGACACATCGCCCCTTCTCTCTGTCTGCGTCATCACATGGAGCATCTGCGTGTGTGTCTGTCACCTCTGTCTCATAGGGACGCCTGTCATTGGATTAAGAGCCTGCTGTAACCCAGGATGACCTCATCTCAGGATCTTATGTACGAGTTTCTTGGAGTGGCAAAACAAAGTACCACAGATGGGGTGGCTCAAACAACACTTATTCTCTGCCAGGGCTGCGGGCTGGAAGTCTGAACTCAGGGTGCTGGCAGGGCTGGGTCCTGCTCAGGCCTCCCTTTTCTGCCTCTCTGTGGTCCTGGTGTCTCTTCCTTTTCTTGGAGTAGGGCCCACCCAACAGCCCCATTTTAACTGAATCACCTCTTTCAAGAGACTCTCTCCTAATATGGTTAGTTTTGAGGTACTAGGGGCTTAGAGATTTGAATATATGAATTTTTATTTTGGGGGAGGACACAATTCAGCCCTTAATACTTTACATATATCTACAAAGAGCCATCTTCCAAATAAGGCCACATTCTGAGGTTCTGGGTAGATGTATCTTTGGGGGCCACAATTCAGCTCACTCCGGTGAGGCCTCATGCCTCCTTTTATAATAGGGTTTTTGTTTAATCCATCAAGGATGAGCCCGTCACTATCTCCCCTTTTACTTCTCATATGAATTGGGTATGTCTGTGCTTTGCTAATTGAACAGTGATGTCAGATGAGCCCTGTTGCATTGGGTCCCTGCCTCTGAACCCCTCTCACCTCTCTCCCCGTCCCTTCCTCCCTCTCTCACATCCTCCGCTCCAGCTCCAGAAAGTTCTGACTCTTGGGCACATCACCACTGACTACCCACTGGCAGAGACCATTGTCATGTTAGGCTTCTTCATGACTGTCTTCCTGGAGCAGCTCATCCTGACCTTCCGCAAGGAGAAGCCATCCTTCATCGACCTGGAGACCTTCAATGCCGGCTCAGACGCTGGCAGCGACTCAGAGTACGAGAGCCCCTTCATGGGGGCTGCTCGGGGCCACGCAATCTACATGGAGCCTCACACCCACAGCCACGGGCTGAATGTCCAGGAGCTGTCACACTCCAGCCCCCTCCGCCTCCTCAGCCTGGTCTTCGCTCTGTCGGCTCATTCCATCTTTGAGGGCCTGGCCCTGGGCCTGCTGGAGGAGGGGGAGAAGGTAGTGAGCCTATTCGTGGGTGTGGCCATCCACGAGACGCTGGTAGCTGTGGCCCTAGGCATCAACATGGCCCGGAGCTCCATGCCCCTGAGGGAAGCGGCCAAGCTGGCCATCACCGTGAGCGCCATGATCCCCCTGGGCATCAGTATTGGCCTGGGCATCGAGAGTGCACAGGGCGTGCCCAGCAGTGTGGCCTCGGTGCTCCTGCAGGGTCTGGTGGGTGGCACCTTTCTCTTTGTCACCTTCTTTGAGATCCTGGGGAAGGAACTAGAGGAGAAGAATGACCGCCTGCTCAAAGTCCTCTTCCTCGTGCTGGGCTACGCCGTGCTGGCCGGCATGGTCTTCCTCAAGTGGTGAACATCCCATTGCTGTCATTGTCTATCTTGGTCTCCTGTCCTGCTGGAGCTCTCAGGGAGCCCCCAGGTGGAAACAGGCTACATTCCCCAGCTCCCTCTCCCCACAACAGGGAGCTCAGGCCCCCAGCCGCTGCCTGCACACAGAGGCTACCCAAGACCAACCTGCACCCTAGATTCTACACTCCCAGCCTCAGGGCAACCCCACTGTAAAATACTTCTCTTAAAGGTATTTACCAAAGCTGTGTGGCCATGTCAACCTGGGCGTGGGGATCTGGCAACTCACATGGGAGGCAGGGCAGGGCGTCCACATGGGGTCAGGCCAAGATCCTCCTACACCACACAAACTGGACCAGGACAGGAGCTATGGGAGGCTCCCAGGCCTCTATCCTCTCCCCCACTGGCTCTGTTGCTAATACCGTGTTTCCCCGAAAATAAGACCTAGCGCATGGAAAGATAAGACATCCCCTGAAAATAAGACCTAGCGCAACTTTGGGAGAAAAAATTAATATAAGACACTGTCTTATTTTTTGGGAAACGGGGTAGGAGGCCCCCAGCATGGAGTGTCTGTTCTGTGGTTAGATGGGGTGGCTCTGTGCCTCCTGCCCCCCACAGCTTTACCCCTACAGGGACAGGCAGGGTCCTCGGTGCCTCAGGACTACCATCTCCTCTGCCTTCTGGTGCTGTTTTCCACCGCTCCCCATGGGAAGGTTGCCCTCCTGGAAGTTGGGGCTGCTGGGCCAGGGTGAGTGTGGGTTCCCTGAAGGAACAGACCCATGGGCTGAGATGTGCGGGCAGGGCTGGGAGGCAGCTTGGCTATTGATTCACAGTCCCATGTGTGCCCAGGGTCTCTGGAGTAAAATGGACTCTGCAGGTTGTGGGGCAGGGGCCAAAGACACAGACAGAGGAAGTTCCCCTCACCAGACACAAACAGAGGAAGCCAGTCCCAGGTGGTGCAAGAGAGCAGAGACTAACTGCTGAGTGCCTGGCTGGTACAAACCCTTGGTGCTATGGCAACCTCTCATTAGCTTCCATTGTTGTCCTGGCAACCTGGGCCATGCCTGGGTATTGGGAATGGGGTGAGCCTTTCCTGGGGAATTTGCTTGGCCTGGCCTGGAGGTGTGGTGGGAGGGTGCTTGGGCCTGGTGACCTGGGCTAAGTTCTGCCCAGCCTCAGCTTCTCTCAGCTCTGTTCCGGCTGTTAGGGCCTGCTTGCTACACCTTCCTGCATCCTGCCTCAGCTGGGAGGCCCAGGGCCAAGCTGTGCACCTTTCTGAAATCTCAAATTGCCCTCCTGTGCCCACCACTGCTAGGAAGAGCTACAATGGGGCCAATTAAGTCCCCCAACAAGGTCAGGGCCCTCTTCCCGTTACCCTGGACTCAGTGAAGCCCTGGTCATCACACTCGCCAGGTTGGAGACTCCAGGAGCATACTGTTGCTTATGCAAAAGTGGACATCCCAGGGGCTGGCCTGCTGCTACCTGGTCAAGGTGCAAGAAGGCATGACCTTCACAACAGCCCTGGCGCCGCCTCTGTTGTTAACTCCTACCCTGGTGCTGTCAGTGTATTGGGCCCATTTCTAGGAACTTCTATCTAAAACTTACCAGGGGCCTATCTCCCAACCCTACATGGCCTGGTCCTGATCTCAAGCCAGAAAAATGACCCTGTGGGTGCGGGAACATCATCCTCGGCAGCATCCTAAACCTGATGCTGTGGCCTCCACCTGCCCCACTTCACCCAGGAACTGGAAGGTTCCAGCAGGGTGGGTCACCATGGAGCCACCAGATTCTGAGTCTGCCTTCAGCTGGGGGGATGGGACAGGGCAGGGGATAGGATAGAGGCAGCAGGGCCTGACTCGGAGGTGTGGTGGGAGGGTGCTCCTTTATAGGGAGGCTCGGGGGCCCCTGTCCCCTCGAATCCAGTGGGAACCCTACATGAGGGCAGGGGCCCCAGCTCCATGTCCCTTACCCCATCACCAAAAGTGCACACAGCAGGGCCCCTGCCCTCCTGCCAGCCATCGGCTTCCTGGGGTGGCCCTGGAGACACCAAACAGCCTGTCCTCAGAGCAGCCCCTCCGCCTCCCCCAAAGGGGAACTTCCAAGACCACGTTTCCCCTTACTCTGAGCAGCTTCCAGACTAGCAGGCCCAGGAAGGGCATTGCCACACCAACGAGGAGGGAAGTCCCCAAGTGTCCTCTGCCCATCCTTCAGTTTGACTTCACTGTCCCGGGTCCTGTCATCCTTTTTTTTTTTTTTTAATTTATTAATTTTTTACAGAGAGGAAAGGAAAGAGATAGAAACATTGGTGAGAGAGAAACATGGATCAGCTGCCTCTGCACACCCCCTACCGGGGATGTGCCCGCAACCAAGGTACATGCCCTTGACTGGAATTGAACCCGGGACCTTCCAGTCCGCAGGCCGATGCTCTATCCACTGAGCCAAACCGGTTTCAGCCTGTCATCCTTGTCTCCCCCGCTTGCCTGTGCCTATCCTGGGTTGTGGCCTCTCCCAGATGTCCCTTTCTCTAGGGTCCCACCAGTCCTAGCAAATGTGCTTGTAGGCCCCGTGGTGACACTAAGGCCCTGAGATGTCTGGGGAGCAGGATTGTAGGAAAGGACATGGCCTGCCACACTAGCTCCTGAAGGCCCCCCCTCCTGCCTACAGTGGGATCCAACGCCAGGAGCCACATGAGTCAACCAGCTGCAGGAGGATGGTGTGTCTCGGCCAGTGTGGGTCAGCTTTCCCCACTTTGGCCAAGGATCAGAACGTCTCCACAGTGAGGTAGGAAGAGTGGTCGGCCCATCTGGCAGAGGCTAAAGAAAAAACTCATTCCTGAGGTCTGCCTGCCAATGGTGGCCAAATCCTTCCAGGGTCCTCTGAGGCCAGCCAAGCAGCTCCAGCCCCACCAGCTCTGACAAGGGAGCACAGCCATGTGGTGGCAGGAGCTTTGGCTTGAATAAGACCTCAGGTCGGTTATCACCTGAGGCCCTGGACCAGCACTCAACACAAAATGGGACATTGGCCACAAAAGGCTTCATCCATTTCTGCAACTTGACATCAAGGGGACATCACGTGGCCCTGGACGCAGATTCCTCCTCAGCGGTCTCAGTGAACTCTGGTTTTCAATCTAGGTGGTTCTGCCCCCAGGGACTCTGGGCCATGTGTGGGCACATGGGTCATCACAGAAGGATGCTGCTGGCATTAAGTAGGGGCTGGGGGGCAGGGATGCTGCTCAGCACCCTACACTGCTCAGTACAGCTTCACCCCAGAGGGTGATCCAGCCAAGTCTGCCCGCACAGGGGCTCACAGCACCGGCGACAGCTGGATGGAGTCAACTGGGTTCCCCTGCTTGATCTGGAGACAAAAGAGAAGCAAATTAGAAGGCAGCATCTAGACCTCACAGATTAAATCAACCATAATAACAGTGTGTCGGGGCTTCTGTTGTCTGCTGTTTGTGTTTCTTGTGCAGAAGTTATTATCACGGGGCGGAGAAGGGAGAGCACCCATTCATGGGCCTGTCTGCCTCTTTAGGGCCCCCAATGCAGGCAACTAAGGGGATGGTGTTTTCCAGCACACAGTACCTTCAGACCTGCTCCGGCCAGCAATAGGAGAGGCATGCACCCCAGCTACCCAGCCTGGGCCCTCTCTGAGCTAACTACCAGCTTCAAGACATAGCTGGTGACCCTCCAATCTGACATTCCCAGAACCACCTGCGGGTGGGGAAGTGACTGGGGATCCCAAGGGCAGAGGGGAGCTGCTGCAGGGTGTGTGAGTGGTTCTGCGAAGACCCTAAAACCCTTCTCTGGGGTGTCAGGGTGCTTTGGCCAAATTGGATTGGAGCAGGGATACCCCCTCATCCCTGCCACCCTCCAGTCTTCCACAACTGCCTGGGCAAGAACAGCTGACCTGGCAGGCCTTGGTGTTCTGGCTGAGGGCTGAAGTGATTGCTGTATGCCCAGCCCGGCAGGAGAGAACCGGGTGTGGCAGGTGGGCAGTTCAGAGCCCTGGATTTTGGGTGCATGGGAGACACTGCTGAGGCGCTGCGTTTTGAGAAAAGGACACAGCCACCACGGTTGACAGGTCCTCTCCAATGATTGACCGGCTGAGCCCCTTGTGCCCAACAAGCTGGCTGCCTCAGCGAGGTCTTCCCTCAGTACTGGGGTGCCAAGTCACTCACTGTGAGGGCTGTCTGAACATGGGTATTGAGCAGCATCCTGGACCCCACCTTCGTGGTGTGAGGAGCACCCCCAGTGTGATAATCCAGATGCCCCCAGACTGCCCAGTGTCCCCTGGGGACAGGATTGCCCCGGGAGAGATCCAGCTCAGGGAAGGCAGCTCACATTCCAGGGAGGCAGGCATGTTACATCAACATGTGATCAATATTGGGGAGCAATAAGATCCCTAAAGAAAAAAAGCAAGGTGAAGGGAGGCGGGGACAATTTTAGCAGGGTCAATTTTAGCAACCTGGTGAGGGAGGAAATCTGTGAGGGCTAAGTGTGAGTCACAAGACGGAAGCTTTCCCAGCAGGGGCCAGGCAGGTGGCTTTCATCAGGATCCAGCATCTGCCACCCTGGGTTGGGGTCCAGCTCCTGCACATGCTGACCAGCAGAATTCAGGCTCATGGATGCCAGCCCATTCGTTTTTCCAAACTGGTTTTTGGCAATCTCCTTATTTTAAAATGCTGACACCAAACTTAAACACAAATGGAAACCTTGGTGGGCCAAACTACATCTGGGAGAGGCCATCGTGAAGCTCAGCCTCTGCTTTGCCTGCATGATTGCATTAGTCCTGGAGTGTGAGCTGAGAGCAGAGAATTCTACCCAGCTGCCTCTCACAGGCAGCTATGCTGGGCTGGAGTGGAGCGGGGGGGCGGGGGGAGGTGTCAGGGTGTGTGTGTGTGTGTGTGTGTGTGTGTTGAGGGGTAAATGAGGTAGATTGGCCCCTGCCTGGAGCACTGAGGCAGGGAGAGGACCCATGGATTGCAAGGGCAAGCGAACTGGGACTGTG